TCTTTCAAAATACTAATATGGAACCTTTTCTCATGCCAATTACCAGTGGAGTTGGAAGGATACACTTTATAGTTTTGCATTATACCTGGATTTTGTTCTAGCTAGGTTTTGTTACAGAAAGATTAGTGGTATTTCTTTTCGATCTTTCCACATAATGGTGCTATGTTTTTTTTTATTATCATGATCTACTTTTGTTGTTTGTGTTAAATAGTATTGTACAAATAATGTTATTGTAATACTTAATATTTCTGGTACATGAAAGAAACTGTGGAGTCTTATTGCAATCTTTAATCTTTAGATGACGGCACATCGAGCATTCCAGTTCTGCAAACAATATAAGAGAACGACAGAGTTTCGCAGGTTATGTGAAATCATCAGGAACCATCTTGCGAATCTGAACAAATATAGAGATCAAAGGGACCGACCTGATTTGTCTGCACCTGAGAGCTTGCAGCTGTACTTGGACACAAGATTTGAGCAGTTGAAGATGGCCACTGAGCTTGAACTGTGGCAGGTGTCTAAATTGTTTTTAAAGTTTTTATTAAGCGTGGATTCTGTGAACAAATTGAAAAATCTTTCTATCTGCTTGTAAGTCCTGTCTCTTTCTCACAATAGGTTTTTCATGAATGTGTTTGCAGGAAGCGTTTCGTTCTGTTGAAGATATTCATGGCTTGATGTGCATGGTCAAGAAAACACCTAAAGCGTCCTTGATGGTGGTTTATTATGCCAAATTGACAGAGATATTTTGGATTTCAGCTAGCCATCTTAATCATGCTTATGCATGGTTCAAGCTTTTTACACTGCAAAAGAACTTTAACAAGAACCTTAGCCAGAAGGATTTGCAACTGATAGCATCATCTGTAGTTTTGGCTGCACTATCAGTTCCACCCTATGATCAAACACGTGCTGCATCGCATTTGGAACTTGAAAATGAGAAAGAACGCAATTTGAGAATGGCTAATCTCATTGGGTTTAATCTTGAACCAAGAGTTGACAGAGGAGATGTGGTATTGTCATTTTCCAGTGTTTTTCTTATGATTCCATCTTTTTTAGTTCTCCTTTCTGACCATCTGTTTTGTGCGCAGCTGTCAAGATCAGCTCTTCTCTCAGAATTGGTAAGTTTGCTGTGTTATCGTTATTTACAGTCAATTGAGCTTGAGTTCCTTTTTCTTCTGAGGAACGTTAGCAAAAACTTTTCTTAGTAATAAAGCCAATGCTTCTCCGTAATGTTGTGTGATTTTCATACCATGACAATTTTGTATCATGTTGAGATTTTATCTTTTTGGTACTGTGGATGAAAGTTGGCTTTTATTTTGTCATATATGCCTCTGTGATATCATTTCCTTATGTGGTATTACTTATTAGTACACAGTACTCAGTAGTGTTTATTTTTTTTCAAATTTTAATAGCTGTTGAGATTTGCTAATCATAAAGTGGTATTTGGGAATATTTATTTGCAGACCATAAAGGAAATAATTTTTTTTTTCATGTTTCAAATGTTTTCTAAATGTGTATGGTTTGCCCACCGTAGGATATTTTGTCTTTTGTTAAGTTGCAAGTAATATGATCTGATTTTGGTTTCATTTCCAGGTCTCAAAGGGTGTGTTGAGCTGTGCAACCCAGGAAGTTAAAGATCTTTACCATCTCGTGGAGCATGAATTCCTACCCCTAGATCTTGCTATAAAGATGCAACCACTGTTGACCAAAATCTCAAAACTTGGGGGTAAGCTGTCTTCAGCATCTTCTGTTCCAGAAGTGCAACTGTCTCAATATGTTCCTGCCCTTGAAAAGCTTGGTACTCTGAGGTTGCTCCAGCAGGTGTGTTGAATATTTGTTACCTTCAATGATTTGTAGTAGTATCTCTGAGTTCGTATAAATTTTAACATACTTGTTGATTCTTCCCTCTACAATTTTCAGGTCTCCCAAGTGTATCAGATAATGAAGATTGAATGTCTATCTCAGATGATCCCATTTTACGACTTTTCTGCTGTTGAGAAGATTTATGTGGATGCTGTTAAACATAACTTCATAGCTATGAAAGTTGACCATATGAAGGGTGTTATGTTGTTTGGTAACTTGGTAAGTTAGAGCTTGCAGACAGTATTTTCATCATTTTCCAAGCTGTACAAGTCACGGACTGACTGTTTTCTCACTAACTTTTTCAGGGTCTGGAATCTGATGGGCTTAGAGACCACCTGACTAATCTTGCCAAGTCTCTAAATAAGGCTAGGTCTATGATGTACCTTCCAGTTAAGGGAGCGTCAAAACTAGCTGAAATTCTGCCTTCTTTAGCTGATACTGTTGATAAGGAACACAAAAGGCTTCTTGCTAGGAAATCAATCATCGAGAAAAGGAAGGAAGACCAAGAACGTCAGCTTCTGGAAATGGTAAGTCTCTGTTTACATCTACCTTGAGTTGCAATTAGTAATAGTACGGGAATGGACAAATCATAGACTAAGCTTTCAATCTTCCAGGAACGTGAGGAAGAGTCTAAGAGGCTCAAACTACAGAAAATAACTGAAGCAGCAGAACAGAAGAGGCTTGCTGAAGAAGCAGAACAAAGGAAGAATCAAAGGATCCTAAAGGAAATAGAGGAGAAAGAAATTGATGAAGCACAGAAGCTCCTTCACGAAGTACGCAGTAAAAAGAAAGGAAAAAAACACATTTTGGATGGAGTAAGTGAAAGTTTTCTCATGAATTATGGTTTAGATGGAAGACCCGATCTTTATCTATATTATTTGTGTACAGGAAAAGGTGACTAAGGCATCTTTAATGGAGTTGGCCCTGAGTGAACAGCTCAGGGAGAGGCAAGAAATGGAGAAGAAGTTACTAAAACTTGGGAAAACAATGGACTACTTGGAAAGAGCAAAAAGAGAAGAGTCTGCTCCTCTAATTGAAGCTGCATATCAACAACGTTTAGTTGAAGAGCAGTTGCTTCATGAACGCGAACAAACGGTATATGTTGTGGTTACATTTTTGTAATTAGCTTACCAACTAAATCTATCCATTATATAATACTCTTGTCTTAAAGTTCAGTCTTCACTTTAAACTGCATCTTTCCTCAATGTTGGCCATGGCCTGCGGTTTCTTCCTTTTATTTTCTGCTGATTTTGGCCATTTTAATGACTGCATTATCATTTCTTTTTCTTTCTTAAAATTTGTGTTTATTTTGTCTTTCTGCCTTGTATGCTAACCGTAATTCAATATTTTGCTTTAACAGCTGGAAGTTGAGCTGAGCCAACAGCGCCATGAAGGAGATCTGAAGGAGAAGAATAGGCTATCACGGATGATGGACAACAAGGTGAGTTTGCAGTTTTATGTGGCCTAACTATGGAGGATTGCTCAGAAAAAGAGTTGACACTTCTGATCTTCATTTTTAACATAGATGGATATGTCTAGATTATATATACTGCCCTAAAAATGTGCATGCTCTAATCCTGGGGAGAGAGATAACGTATGCATGCACAAGAATTTCTTTTACTATAAACAAAATTATTGTGAGTTTTTTTTTCTTTTTGGCAGACTATCTTCCAGGAAAGGGTGTTGCATCGTAGGCATGAAGAATACGAGAGGAGGAGGGCAGAGAGAGAGGAACAGATTAGCCAACTGATTTGGGCCAGGAAGCAAGAGAGGGATGCCAAGCGAAAGAAGATATTCTTTGTGCGGTCTGAAGAGGAGAGACTGAGGAAGCTTCGTGAAGAAGAGGAAGCACGCAAGCGTGAAGGTAGTTGTCCTCCCTGACTATTTACTGCTTTACTGTTTCTGATTCCTCTTAACTGTTTCTTGGCTAATTAGGGAAACATTGTTGAGTAACTTTACTTTCGATGATGGCTCTTGCGGTTGTTATGTCTTGTTAGTATTGTCTTCTGATGTGCATCCATCATTGCTGCTTTGAACCATGCAGAAGCTGAGAGGAAAAGAAAGGAAGAGGCGGAGCGCAGGGCCAAACTGGATGAGATAGCTGAAAAACAGAGGCAAAGAGAGAGGGAATTGGAAGAAAAAGAAAGGCTAAGGAAAGAAGCACTTTTGGGGAAACCAGCTGAGGTTCCTAGGCCTGTTGAGCCACGTGCGGAGCCTGCTGTTGCTCCTGCTGCTGCTGCCGCCGCTGCACCTGCTCCTGCGAAATATGTACCCAGACACCTTCGACAAAGGGGAGCTGAGGCACCCGGGCAGGCTCCTCCAGAGCCCGACCGATGGGGAAGCAGGCCAGATGACCGCCTACCGCCTTCAAGTGATAGGTGGCGCAGCGGCAGCGATGAGCGCAGACCCCCCTTTGGTAGCAGCGGCGCAAAGTGGTCTTCATCCAGGGGTCCAACCCGCTGATTATGCGGAGTTTTGGTCTCTCATTTCTTGATCCCGGGGCATTTTGATTTTGTTTAAGCTGGGAGTGCTCCGGGTTTGGACTAAGAAGTGGTCATTTAAATCGAAGTAATAGACAAACTAGAGTGGATATAACCTTTGCGTTAAGTTAAATTCTTTCTTCGCCTGTTTCGTTGCCAACTTACGAGCCTCTTTTCCGTCGAGTTTGAATGCTCTGTTCTCGGTCGAATGCTCGTTGTAATCTTGAAAATTCAGAGACTTGAAGTTGATTTTGTTCTCACCATGCGTATTTAGTTTCTCACAAAGCTTGCTTCTCTCGATGGTGGTTTCCCATTGTTCTTCGTTGCCAACTTTCAACGTTGTGAATACCAAGTTATCAACTTACAGAAAACGGTGTTGCTCTTTAAGCCACTTTAGCTACAAAATCCAAGACCCATAAAATTTTGGTTTTCGAATTTTCTTTGCAAGAGCAAAACTGGTTTTCAAAATAAATTAAGTCCGGCGATAATATTATGTTTAGCTTTGTAGTGTGAATTTCGTGCAAAGATTTAATAGTTTGTAAAAGACTAATCAAATCTTTATATGTAAATGAAATTATTAATTTTTCGGACTACTAAATGATACTCGTGATAAAAATAAAATTGGAGTAAATTTGGGATTAAGAACATTTATTTTTATTTTTATTTATTATTAAGGAGGCTCGTTTATCTCGCATCTCCCCCGCTCGGTCTCGCCTCCTGACACCTAAACCCTCCTTGAACCCTCCACAGTCCACACTCCTTCCCAATTCGATTTCCCTGCACTGACTGAGTTTTTCAGCAGAGAAAATGAGTTCAGTCGCTGCCAGATTCGTCAAGTTTATGAGGGTCTCCGTTCCTTCCTCGCCTACCTCCTCATTTGGTTCTCTCTCCCCTCTCTCTCTCTCTCTCTCTCTCTCTCTCTCCCCCCCCAAAATATTATTATTTTGTTGCTCATTGCTGATTTCTTATTTGGTATTTGCTTAAAGTTTTGATTTTTGTTAATGGGTTGGGTTCAAACCCCTTCTAAATGGAAGATAATTTTCCCCAATGCAATTTTCTGCAAAATTTGATGATCTTGTTGGTTAGTTTGCTGTATTGTTTTGAATCTTATGTTTCCAGAGATGGGTTTAGTCCAGAAAAGCATTTTCAATAACATGTTGCATAAAATTCGGCATGATTGCATGTTTTTCGAAGAACAATTTTCTTAGTATTACAGCAGTTGGTGTTTATGTTGACTTTTACAATTATTACAGCAGTTGGTGTGCAAAGAAGCTCAAAGTTGTGGTTCTCGAGCACCCCATCTGATTCTGACATTGGTAACGATGACACAAAGAACAATGTGGCAGAAGATGATTTTGATGACTTTATTGGTGCGAAGAAAGATGTGAATTTGCAACCCCAAGGTGTTGATCCCAGGAGGGGATGGGGATATCGTGGTGTGCACAAGGTATTTCATATGTCGTTTCAGTAGAAAACAAAAACGTAATTGTTACTCATGTGTATGTTAACGAGTTGTCGTGTGCATATAGATTTACTTAGAAGTTTACAAATACGAGTGCATTATGTTATAACTTGTATAAGATCTTTAAGGTCTCACGGAAAAAAAATTATATTCCATTGGGGATGCTAAGACACAGAAACAACATAAAGATTCGGTAGTAATTTATCTTTAGTTTTTATATGAGCAATCAAAAGGTTGAGTAGGGATATGCTCTTCATATGTTTATGCTAGGCTCTGCTGAATTTATGTAGGCAATTATCTGTGGAAAAGTTGGGCAAGCCCCTGTGCAAAAGATCTTGAGGAATGGTCGAACTGTAACCATCTTCACGGTTGGGACAGGAGGCATGTTCGACCAAAGGGTAATGGGAGCAAAGGACTTGCCAAGACCTGCTCAATGGCATCGAATTGCTGTGCATAATGAAGCACTTGGGGCTTATGCGGTTAAACAAGTGGTTAAGAAGTATGTGTCCATTTTTTAGTATGAACGAATGTCTCTATATGTTGTGTCTGTAACGGTTGGAGGTTTTCTGCAGTGCATCAATTTATGTCGAGGGTGACATTGAAACTAGAGTTTACAATGACAGCATCAATGGTGAAGTGAAACATATTCCAGAGATATGTATTCGTCACGATGGTATAAAAACCAACATTTTCTTTTCCATTTATTTTACTAAATGTTATTTTTTTAGTTCGGTTTTCTTTGCTCTACGGTTCTTTTGGATTGAATGGTGTTTCATATGTTTACTTTTGCTATGTATTCCAAAATTTGTGTGACGATAACTTGAAAGGATATAGTAATCTTAGAAGGAATATTGTTGATGCCCGAAATACATTGAGTTTAAGCTTTCATTAACAGATGAATAAACATGGCCACGAGGATTCATATTTTTTGTCCCTGTTCTGCATCAATAGAAAGTGCTGATATGGCAAATAAGATTGAAAGGATCAACATCGATGTTTAGGCTGATTCCGTAGATAGTTGAAAGGTCTACCCCATCCCTCCAATCTTTCATAAACAAGTGTAGAAATTGAAAACATATTCATTTAGCCTGATATATAGGCTGATTCCATAGATGCTATATTATTCATTTGTTCTCCTTCCATATTGGCAGTGTGAAATTTCTTAATAGTGTGATATACATCTTACAGGGAAGCTTCGTCTTATAAAGACTGGAGAAAGCATCAGCAGTATATCCTTGGATGATCTGCGTAAGTTCCTTTACTTCTTTTAACATCTAAACTGATGTCATGCCCAACCTGTAAACAGTAATGTACTCCTGTGCTATCCCGAGTTGAGACTCGGGTTGGATACTTAAATTACGTGTAATCATTGTTACTTGTGTGCTTCCGCTGAAGTTTTTCAGACCAACCACCGTAGGTTACACCATTCCATCTTTTGACATTGATTTTGATCAACGTGCTCATCGATTACTTGCAGGAGAAGATTTGCTTTAGCTAATGGAACAATTGATTGGCACATTTGGGAAAACTCTGCTTTGGAAACGAAACCTAGCTCAAGCCACTTTTGTTAAACACATGTTACATTTGCGTGTCCAGTCTGGTTGTAACCCGGGAAAGAAAAATTTATGGAGTTTTGTTCTTCTAATGTGTTGATATATCACTCAGTTTATTAGTCTGCTCTTCGTTGCTTTCTTACTCCAGTGAGTGAAGCCATTTATCCTTTCCTCTCGTTCGGAGAACGGAGCGTTCTTAACGATTGAGATCTTGTAAAGATTATTAATGTTCTTAAATCCCATTAATGAAGTTATATATTGTTCCTTCAACCATTTTAGAGCCTGGTTCGAAGTGCTTCTCTAGAAAGCACTTCTACATAAAAGCGCCTATTAGAAGCACAGCTGTGTTCTTAATAAAAAAGCACTTCTACCCAGTTTTTCCTGTTATGTGCTTCTTGAGCGTGTGTTTCTTTCAGAACGCACTTCAAGAGTTTTTTTGTAACTCAAAAAGACTTTTTTAACTTTTTCAGTTAAATATTATGAGAAGTATTTTTGATGAAATGGACGTGCTTGTTATTTAAAAGCATTTTTAAACATGCCTACCGTCTTACTATATGGATTCAAAAAATGAAAAACAAAAAAAACCATTTGTTTCCATTTACTTTGCCTATCCTTGTTCTCCTCATAACCTAGTTATACACACCTTTAAATTATATGTTTTATGCAAGTGAGCCTGAAAGAATTAAACTCAAAATTTCAAGTTTAAAGATTAAAAATTTAATTAACAAAAGTTGTTTGTGGATGGTTTACTGGCCCGTGTATAAACCACTTGTTCTTTCAAAAAACGAGTTATTATTAGCTTAATTCCTTACAATATAAGATACAATTTTCAGTAGATTTTACACATGTCAACAACCTAGTATTTACACATGATTGCACTACTTTTTTTCTTTTGCACATTAATTTGTGACATCCCACATCGCCCAGGAGAGTGATCCTTAAATGTATATTCTCATTCCTACCTAGCACTAGGTCTTTTGGGAGCTCACTAGCTTCGGGTTCCATAGGAACTCCGAAGTTAAGCGAGAAGGAGGCCAGAGCATTCCCAGGATGGGTGACCCATTGGGAAGTTGCTCGTGAGTTCTCAAAAACAAAACCGTGAGGGAATGGTAAGCCCAAAGCGGACAATATCGTGCTACGATGGTGGATCGGGCCCGGGATGTGACAAATGGTATCAGAGCCAATCCCTGACTGGAAGTGTGCTGACGAGGAGGTATGACCCCTAAGGGGGGTAGATTGTGACATCTCACATCGGCCAGGGAAGTGATCCTTAAATGTATATTCTCATCCCTACCTAGCACTAGGTTTTTTGAGAGCTCACTAGCTTCGGGTTCCGTAGGAACTCTAAAGTTAAGCGAGAAGGAGGCCATGTCACTCTCAGGATGGTAAGCCCAAAAACAAAACCGTGAGGGAATGGTAAGCCCAAAGCAGACAATATCGTGCTACGATGGTGGATCGGGCCCGGGATGTGACAAATGGTATCAGAGCCAATCCCTGGCTGGAAGTGTGCTGACGAGGAGGTCTGACCCCTAAGGGGGGTGGATTGTGACATCCCACATCGGCCAGGGAAGTGATCCTTAAATGTATATTCTCATCCCTACCTAGCACTAGGTTTTTTGGGAGCTCACTGGCTTCGGGTTCCGTAGGAACTCTGAAGTTAAGCGAGAAGGAGGCCATGTCACTCTCAGGATGGATGACCCACTAAGAAGTTGCTTGTAAGTTCCCAAAAACAAAACCGTGTAGGAATGGTAAGCTCAAAGCGGACAATATCGTGCTACGATGATGGATCAGGCCCAGGATGTGACAAATTTGTTTATCTATATTAATTTAATTTTAATTTATTTATTTAACTAAAAAATATGAGTACTAAGGAGTCGCGGCTTAATGTTTTAAATTCACAGTTCTTAAATTATACAGTTGGAACTTTGTCCTTTGCTTGATCACAGAGTGTATGTTGCTTTATGGAGGCCACTTTAGGAAATGGGTGACCCACCGCCCCTCAAAGGGAAATCGGAGTCGGATTCTCTGCCCTTCTACTTTTCCTGTCCTCTTGTACTTTTTTATTTGTGTGATCATGGTTAAGTCACGTTAACATTTTATATTACTATTCATTTTTGTCTTATTATCTCTATAAAAAATAATATAAAATGTGAACGTGGCTTAACCGTGACCACACAGAACAGGAGGGCACGAGAAGTGGAAGGGCAGAGAATCTACCTCAAAAAAAAGAGGAGAAATGCTAAGGATACTCTCTTAAGTGTACTTTCAGACTCTCAGTCACTTCACTATCTTAACACAATAATTTATAATGTTAGCACAAAAATTATGCTAAAAATATAAAATGACAGAATTTCACATTTTAGAAAATCTCATTAGTATTTCTCATTTAAAAAAAACCAAAAACGTCCTTGGAAATTGGAAAGTAGGACTAGAACTGGTGTGACCTTGATTGATTGGTGATTTTCCAATGCGTTTGTAACTTTGTCTCTTGGTTGACCCCAAAGTGTATGCTGCTTTATGGAGGCCACTTTAGGAAATGGGTGCCCCACTGCCCCTCGAAAGGGAAAAAGAAGAGAAATGGTAAGAGACTCTCTTAGGTGATTCTTGACTCTTTGACACTTTACTATCTTAGCATAATAATTTATAATATTAACATAAAAATTATGCTAAAAACATAAGGTGGTAGATAATTTTATATTTGATAAAATCTCCTTAACATTTCTCGAAAAAAAAAAAAACCAAAAACTTCCTTGGAAATTGGAAAGTAGGACTAGGACTGGTGTGACTTTAATTGATTGGTGATTTTCCCATGTGTTTGTTACACGAGATGATACATCACGTGCTATTATATAAGTGGAGAGATACTTGAAAATAAAACTTTCTTCCAATTATACAATAACATGTGATGTACAACCAGTGTATCGGGCACACTGAAAAATTTCTCTAATGTTAAAGAGACTATTAACTCAAACAATAATTTGTAAACTATATGATCTGGTTGATGATTATGTTATTATTAATCAACACGTACTTATTTTTTATTGGTAAAAATCACATATTCTAGGAATATGATCTAAATATTAGTATGTCCACCATTACTTTTTATCTTAACCCAAATGTCCTTGAAACGTATTAACAAAACGATAGTCTACATTAAATTAATTTAAATCATAGAAAGATGGATTCGAATTTGAACGAAAGATGGAGTGCGGCCTGTAGAGCACATGTAACGCACAGTTGGGTTGCTCGCGCAGCGAATCTCTCTCTCTCTCTCTTTATCTAAAGATATCTAGAGAGAGATGTGAAAGTACTCTCACGAATGGGACGAAAATGTGAATTCAGACTCGAAATCTATTTTAACATGGTGAGGTTTTAGTTGATCTTTGAAAATCGATTAACCTAGTTGATCTTAACCTTTGCTTTCTCTCTTGTTTTCTTTCCAAATTAATTGCCACTTGCTATTTCCTCTCAGGTTTATAAATTTTAACGAATAGGAAAGCAGGGGCATGGTGGAGGAAAATTCTAGATGCAATATAATATATGACAAACCAATAGTTGAATTCAGCTAATTAGCTTCACCCTTCATGGGTGCCAAGCCTTAAAAAGTATCAATGCTTTTGGTAATTAGGATTTGATTATTCAAACCCATTTCCTAAGATCTCTTCATCAAATTCTTAATACACTAACAGCTGTTGGCACACCACCTTAACCATTATTCAATTTCAAAGAGGACGTTACTTTCACACCCATATAATTGATGATACAATTTTTTTTGGCAAAGTGATGTTTACCTACTCGAATTTAAGGAAAGGAGGCCAATGACACTACCTATGTGGTATTGTTTGTCATTTTTAATTGGGAGGTTTCGGTTTTAGTTTGCCATAAATGGCGTGGTCAATACCTAATAATGATTGACCTGTTGTGTTGTTTAGCATTAGGCAATCCTTCACACTCGTAATATCCTTCACACTGCCATTTGTTCCCCCGCAGCTGGCTGAGATGATGGCAGCAAGGGACGCGGCTATGTTTGTCAAGGAGTGGCAATTCCTAGCTTCGGTTCTTGAAGGTGATGCATTGTTTGTGATGGCAGGACTAAAAAATGAAGGAAGGGATGACACCTCACATTTTGAAACATTCTAAATGACACGCGGTCAATTGTTTATTCATTGCCAAAGTGGAAGGTTGAATTTAGTGAAAGCGAGACAAACAAGGTGGCACACAGGCTAGCGCGTATGAGCTTGAGTTATTGTAACATTGTGACTTGATTTGAAGAACCTGACGTAATTCTTGATCTTCTCTTTGAGGATAGTAATTCCTAATTAATTATGTTGGTGCAGGACACTCTTTTCCCTTTCGACTGGGTTGAAAATCCCGGCAAGATTTTTATCAAGACCCTTTGTTAGCACCCTATCCTCATTGATGTACGTGCTTATTAATGAATATCGTACCCTTTCAAAAAAATTATCGTTGTATGCAAAAAGAAAAGAAAAAGGAAGCCGAATTAGGAATTTAAGATATAAAGAAATGGAAAAACAACCTTAGCCAACTATCGTAACTCACATATGGCGAGATTCTACTAGTACTAAGTGTAGATATTTTAAGATCCCATATTGATAAACTAATTAGAGAAACACTAAGTCCAATTGACTCTCTCAAAGTGGGGTTTTCTATGGACTCTTTGTCATCTCACAATTTAATGTTAATTTATGTGTCAACATTATAAACATTGTGCTAAAAGTATGAGGTAACATAGAGTCTATAGAGAGTCCTACTATTGAGAAAGTCCCCTTAGGATTTCTCAACTAATTGATCCCTGTGATGATAAACCCTATAAATAGACATTTAATTCTCAGCATTTCTTGCATCCTCTCACTTCTACAATGGTTTTGAAATCTTTTGTGTTCATGGTCGTCAGCCTCGCGATCACCATCAAAACATTCCATGTTTCAGCTCTTGATGCTTGCCCTAAATGTGGCAACATGGAAGTTCCATACCCTTTTAGCACAGACGACACGTGCGGGGACTCAAGTTACAAACTCTACTGCAACAACAATGGAGTTCTTGAGTTCCAGTCAGCTGAAGGCTTCGGCTACAAGGTCCTAAGCATTGACCTAGCTACTCAGAAGCTCATCATAAAACCACCTGATCTCGTACAGGATGACGACATGTGTCGCACTACTGATTTCTCTTCAGAAGGTCTGAGACTTGATGAAAACTTGCCCTTCAACGTGTCTACCCGGAACACCGTCATACTGCTCAACTGCTCCGACAAT